TTTTATATTATTCCTTGTCTATTGCTAAAACACCGTACAATTGCTCATCAATACGACTTGCCTAGAAAATTGATTTTAGATCAGCTGATTGCATACAGGGCCTATGCAATTTATCTCCCAATTAATCATTTTGGCCAGTCTGGAAACTACTATCGTGTTATAACACCCAAATCCGTTTGTTTGATAATCACCATTTTTGGGACTTTCGCTCTTTTAATTCTTTTTTGAAGATCATTTGCTGTTCCTTGGTAAATCTTTATCAATACTATTTCTTTTAGATTGTTGAAGAATTGCTTAACCGTGGGGCAAACAAGGAACACAGAAATATCTCTGACTATACTCCACTAAGTCTGGCTGCCTTTGGAGGTCACGTAGAAGTAATTCAATTGTTGCTTCAGCACCGCGCTGAAATAAATGCTCGTACGGGCTCAAATTTGGGGATCTCGCCACTCATGCTAGCCAGCATGAACGGCCACACAGCTGCCGTTCGCCTTCTTCTCGAGGCTGGTTCTGACATTAACGCTCGGATTGAGACAAATCGCAATACTGCATTGACACTGGCCTGTTTCCAGGGCAAACATGAAGTAGTCAGTCTTCTGGTGGAGCGTAAAGCCAATATTGAACATCGGGCTAAATCAGGCCTTACACCATTAATGGAGGCGGCCTCTGGTGATTATGTTGAGGTGGGAAAGATTCTTTTGGATCATGGAGCAGATGTAAATGCGCCTCCGGTACCTAGTTCTCGTGACACAGCACTCACAATCGCATCCGATAAAGGGAATGCGAAATTCGTCAATTTGCTTTTGGAAAGGTTTGTATAGTCCTGTTTATATTTCCATTCCTGATCTTGTTTATCACTTTATCTTTCCTGCTTATTTCTTTGCTTTATCTATATTTTCATATTGTCTTGTAGAGGCGCAATTGTTGAAGCAAGAAACAAAAAGGGCGCAACTCCTTTGTGGCTTGCTTGTAATGGTAAGTATATCGAACTAGCCGAATCTCAGCTCACATTCAC